TGTATTGATAGTTACCTTAAAGGTTTAGTAGATAAACCAACCTCTAGTCATTATAAAGGTTTAAAAATAGCTTAAATAAGTAACATTTGCTTCCCATTCAACAAAGGAATTTTAAAATTTTTTCAATTGTCTTTTTAGTTATAAAAACAGATCACCATCGGTAAAAAAATTGTTAATTCTGCAACATCTTATAATTGTTCTATGTGTCATATTTATATAGTACTTTTTTAAAGGTTTGCATTTTTATAAGAAAGATTTTTTGATGAGAAACAATTTGATTTTAATTTTTAAAGGGCGGATTTTCTAATGATGCCCTTTCTCTTTTAGACAAGGCGCAAAAACGCATTATAAACATAGTTGGACCTGCTCTTGCAGCCAACTTTCAACCTCTGTCAAATCGTTGTAATGTTGCTTCTCTTTCTCTTTTCTACACATACTGTAATGGGCACTGCTCTAAAGAGCTAGCGTCTCTTGTGCCATCTACTAAAATTAATTCTCGTGTTACTCGTCATTCAATTAAGTCTCATCCTTTTTCTGTTACTGTTCCTAAGTGTTCCACAAACTCTTATTGGTCTAGTTTTTTTCCTTGAATATCAGTTCTTTGGAATTTGCTTCCTTCATCTTGCTTTCCTGATTCATATAATTTGCAATCTTTTAAGTCATCTGTCAATCATTATCTTGCTCTACAATCTTCATCTTTTCTCTTCCAGTAACTTCCAACACTAATTAGTGGTTGCTTGCAGCCTTGTTGGAAGCAAAGATAATTAAAAAAAAAAAACAACCTATAACAACATTAGTTGTTGCATTTTTTTTGAAATTAAGTTTTCCAGAATGACACAAGAATTAATTCTAAAATATGATGACATCTAGAGAAGGGTTTTTATAAGTATGCATTACAAGCACTTTTATAGATTTTCAATTTCAGATTGTCAATTGAAACTGAGTTTTAACAAATCATCTATCCTACCTATCTTCTAGCTTCAACACCACTTTTGAGATATGCAAACTTGACAATATCTTATTCTTCATCAGCCTGATTATAACTTAATATTTCCTATTTGGAGTTTTAATATGCCATTGTTAATTTAAATGACTAATTTATATACATTATTCATATAAATGAATTGAAATATATAAATTACATTACATATCACACACACACACACACACACACACACACACACACACACACACACACACACACACACACACACACACACACACACACACACACATACATATATATATATTTATATAATTTAAATGAAAAAAATACAATTTTTTATGGAACTATTACTTTCATGCCATTTGGCAATCATTCAGCCATATTCTCCAAAATTTTAAAAATAAAAAACCGTTAAAAAATTTAATTTTCTAGCGTTGCAATGGTATCTGACGTCAAGTTTACGTCAGACGATATCATGGATTTCTAATCTCTGGTATCGAATTGTGAAAGCAGAAATTTTTTTTTATGCCTGCAAGGAGAAACCAACTCACTTTTTGACATTGTTGACTTTTATCCTTCAATTAACGAAAAACTCCTTATCGACTCCATTCACTTTGCAGAGCAATATGTTACCATTACTACTGACCATAAATCTTTAATTCTTCACGCGCGAAAATCATTATTATTTACCAACGACCAAGTTTGGATGAAGAAATCGAGTGGTTTGTTTGATGTAACCATGGGTGCATTTGATGGTGTGGAGGTTTGTGAACTAGTTGGAATTTTCCTTCTTTTCCAAATCTCCTAATTTTATAGCAAGCATGATTTGGGGTTGTATAGAGATGATGGCTTAGCTGTGTTTAAAAATGCAAGCGGCCCTAAAATGGAAAAAATTAAGAAACATTTCACGCAAATATTTAAGCAAAACAGCTTAAGTATTTCTATCCAATCTAATATGAAAATTGTTAATTACCTAGATGTAACATTGAACCTTAACAACAGTAGTTTCCAACCATACCGCAAACCTGATAGTACGTTAAATTACATCCACTCTAGTTCCAACCATCCCCCTAATATTTTAAAACAGTTACCAACTTCAATTGAGGGTAGGTTATCAATCAATTCTTCCAGTGAAGCAATTTTTAATAATACAGCCCTATTTATTTAATAATACAGCCTATTTATAAAGATGCATTAGAAAAGTCTGGATTTAGAAACAACATACAATACCATTCATATGTAGGCCCAAATAATACTAATAAGCGAAAGAGAAACATCATAAGGTTTAATCCTCAGCAAAAACGTTGTCACCAAAATAGGACACCTTTTTCTTAAGTTAATCGACTTGCATTTTCCTCTCCATCTTAAGTTCCCCAAATCAACCCCAAATCATGCTTGCTATAAAATTGGGAGATTTGGAAAAGAAGGAAAGTTCCAACTAGTTCACAAACCTCCAAACCATCAAATGCACCCATGGTTACATCAAACAAACCACTCGATTTCTTTATCTTTAAATATAATTCGATTTATTAAAATATAATTTGATCTATTTTA